CCTAACTTTCTGAGGAAGAAGAATTCTTAACCTCTCTTCTCACACTGGAGAGCTAATTCTCCCTTACAATATAAGCTTCAGTTCCTGAAGAAGGTGTTGAGCTTCCTAACCTGACATGGAAGGCCTGGCTTAGCTGAAATCTGGAATGAAGGCAAGTGTGGGCCTCAAGAAAAATTAGGAAAACAAAAGACAGAAGTGCCTTGCGAAAACAGTAAAAGGATTTGGAGCCCATTAAGAAAAGTTTCTTCGGACCAGATGGAGTAATGGTTATGTTGCTGGACTCCCATGTAGTCGATCACGGTTCAAGTCCCAGACTCAGTGGCTTAAACTCATGCCAGGCGTGCGTGCTTACATGCCCAAGATCCTGAGAGGAGAATGGAGGAGAAGGGATTGTGGCATTTGTGGCATGGCCATCCCCCCTGAGGGGTGATTTCTTGCATTCTGTCTCTCTGTCTCTCTCTGTCTTTCCAGGGAATGCATGCGCCCTACAGTAAAAACCTCTCCAACACACGCACGCACACACATACACACAACTTTATTGGGTTTTTTTCCTCAATTTATCCTTTTTATTTTTTAATGGTCAAATATAATTTTTTAAAATTTCTTAAGGACACCTGTAGGGTTTACCAAACACAAAGCATGGCCTCGGGACAAGAAGGTGGGAAAGAATGAGAATTAAGATAAACTGTGTTATGATGGCTTAATGATTCATTGTGTCCTTTACAGATCCCAGGATATGCCGTTATCTCACCACCTGCACATCTGTGCTGAGTACCTTCTGCTCGGCCCTCCTGCTATCGTCCAGCTTCTTGTTGGGTGCAGCCAATGAACAGAACTGGCAGCGATCAAAAGGTAGGGGAAAAGAACTCAGAGCAGTTACAGCCTAGTATCTCTCCATGCCTATTTGCTGTTGTCTGTGTGCTCCTCTGGACAAGGAAGGCAGCCCTATGTATACAATCAACCTCTCTATTCTCCCATAATGGTTTCCTCCTCTGCTCCTCTGGTCTGGGATGGTAATGCTTCAGCTTGTCCCTTTCCCCAGTTTGGTTCCCTTAAACTCTGCCCATACCTTAAGTAATCACTTTATTGATCTCTCCTCAAATTATCCAGATTACATCTGCCATCTTTTTCCTGCCAGACCCTGACCATGAGCTCTCTGCTTAAATGTCCCTCTCT